AGCGACCGAGGGTGGCTTAGCGGAGCCGACACATTAGGTGCGCCTTGGACGCGGCCAGCACCGGGCGTGGCGGATGCGCGCACGGAAAGCCGCGGGACAACGGCGAGTTTGGGAGCGCGGGGCTCCTTGGCTATGGCGGACGGTGGGTTTGGCCTCCAGCAGCACGACGTCTACGGTGCACGGGGAAGCAAGGTGAGGTGTAGGGGAACCGGGGGCTCACAGGGAGTTCGGGGAGGAGCTCAGGGTGGCCGGGGATGCTCGGAGTCGGCCGAATCGACGACGAGCAAGTGGCGGTGCCCGAGGATGAAGATGGTCGATGGCGACGGCTTGGGGAGGTCCCTGCTCGTGAGCGTTGTCATGGAGGTAGACGACGTCAAGGCGCAGCTCCTGGCACCTTCGAGCGGGATGGGGTGGTTCCGGAGCGTGTCAACGACGAGGCGGTGGCGTCGGTCGCGTACGGTTGCCTCTCTAGATCGGAGGAGAGCAAGGGGGGAGAAGGGGATAGGCTAGGGGTTGACAAGGGCGTCAGGGATGGTCTCCTTATCCACCAGAGGGCCATGGGATGTTCGACAGTGAGGCAATCGGCGGGTGGATGGCGTGCGTGCCATGGCATCTCTGTTTCTGGTGAGAGGTTAGGGAAAAGGCCAGCGCGGGCTGGGCCTTGTGCACTGTAGTGCTAGGCTATATGTGTACAATGTGTGCTGGGCCTAGTAAGTGCATAGTGCCCTTCTTTATCTTTTTTTTGTTTTCAACTCATAGTCACAGTTTTACACTTTATTTAATTTCAATTGAATTTTGATACATAATAAACTTGTCTCAAAAATACTTTGTGATATTGTGGAACTATCCATAGGGTTTCAGGTTATTTTAGAAAGGCTATAATTGCGGCTTGAAATTAATTGCGCCACTTAAGTGTTGTCGGTCAAATCAAAAATAGATAAGGGCCATTTGAAGTTTCAAATGATGATGATTCCAACATGAGAATTGATCAGGGTAATTTATACTAAAATTCAAATATTTTAGTTTTATAGTCCGAAGAGATAAAAATTTGACTTGTCTTCTAAATTTGAATTTGAACTCGGTTTGGACCAAAGTGTGGTTTAGCAAATTAATCGCGATGACATGGCAACATTAGTGTGTGATTACTGTAGCTTAACTACCAGGGTGTTATAATATTCATCATGTAGCAGCCATAACCTAGGGTGACACAGAACTAGCTCCAATTCATCAATGTAATGTAGGCATGTATTCCGAATATAATCATACATGCTTATTGAGAAGAACTTGCATGACATCTTTTGTCCTACCCTCCCATGATAGCGGGGTCCTAATGGAAACTAAGGGATATTAAGGCCTCCTTTTAATAGAGAACCAGACCAAAGCATTAGCACTTAGTGAATACATGAACTCCTCAAACTACGGCAATCACCGAAAAGAATCACAATTATTGTCACCTTGGGGTATGCAGATCATAACTCGTAATAAGTGTCTACAACTTGCAAGATAGGATCAAGAACTCACATATATTCATGAAAACATAATAGCTTCAGATCTGAAATCATGACAATCGGGCACTAGTGATAAGCATTAAGCATAGAAAAGTCATAGCAACATCAATCTCAGAACATAGTGGATACTAGGGATCAAACTCTAACAAAACTAACTCGATTACATGATAAATCTCATCCAACCCATCACTGTCTAGCAAGCCTATGATGGAATTACTCACGCACGACGATGAGCATCATGAAATTGGTGATGGAGGAAGGTTGGTGATGATGATGGTGATGAATCCCCCTCTCCGGAGCCCCAGACGGACTCCAAACCAGCCCTCCTGATGAAGAACATGAGGCGGTGGCTTCATATCGTAAAACTTGATGAATCCTTCTCTCTGGTTTTTTCCGTGAATAGGTACTTATAGAGTTGGAATTACGACCGGAGTAGGTCCAGGGGGCCCACAAGCCTACATGGCACGCCCTAGGGGGGTGGGAGCACCCCCAGTGCTTGTGGCCTCTGGGTGGCCCCCTATGGTATCTTTTTGCGCCAGTGTTTTTATATATTCCACAAAAATTCTACGTAAATTTTTAGGTCAATCCGAGAACTTTGATTTCTGCACAAAAATAACACGATGGCAATTCTGCTGAAAACAGTGTCAGTCCGGGTTAGTTCCATCCAAATCATGCAAATTAGGGTCCAAAACAAGGGCAAAAGAGTTTGGAAAAGTAGATATGATGGAGACGTATCATTGATCTACTCGTTTTTCTTTAGCTAGTTCCGTGGAGGGAAGAAGGATGACTTAATTACTTTGTCAAAAAGGAATATCCAAACATAATTGTAAAACTTATCATACCTCCCGAGGGGGTGTCGCAGCATCAAGACCGATGTCTTCTTCCTCGGTCGGCTAGTCCTTTTGAGGCTTGAACATCACCTTCCACAACTTGGTGTGGGAGGTGTGGTAGAAGCTGAGCACGGTGGTAGGGTCTTCGGGCTTGTAGGACCACATGGGGATGGCTCAGTTTTGAAAGGGAAGGAGGCGTCGGTGAAGCACGATCTGAATCACGTTGGGTAACTCGACCTTCTTCTTTATCATGTGAGATATCCGGCTCTACTGCGATGCCACCTTCGTGGTTGACCCCCAGTCGAGGCCTTTCTTGGTCAACGAGACCAGCCTTGTGGAGGGTCTGGATGTGAAGACAGGGATATCTACCCAATCCGCACCTCATGGTTCCATGATATAGAACCACTCCTTCTGTCAAATCTTGATGGTCTCTATGAAATTGTCGTCCGGCCACTCAACCCAGGGGAGTTTGCTGAACATCCCCCCCCCGGCAGTCCACTTGTTAGCAGTCAACAATCTTAGGCTTAATGTTGAAGACTTTTAGCCACAAGCCGAAGTGTGGCCGGACCGAAAGGAGTGCCTCACAGATGATGTTGAAGGCCGAGATGTGTAAGGAGTTCAGGCCAAGGTCATGGAAATCTAACCCGTAGAAGAACATCAGGCCCCTAAAGAAGGGGTGGAGGGGGAAGTCCAGTCCCCGGATGAAGTCGGGGAGGAACAACATCCTTTCGCCTGGTCTGGGCGTGGGGTTGACCTGACCCTCCTCTGGGACGCGGTGAGCGATGTTGGCCGGAAGTTAGACCACGCTCTTCAGCTCAAGGATGGCGTCCTCGGTGACGTTGGAAGCCTCCCACTTGCCCTTAGAGCCAGAGCCGTCCATGGCCAATCAAGGAGATGGATGGAGAAGTCTTTGAATGGAAGGATGGACCTAGGTACTCGAGCTCAAGAGACTGGGAAGGCAATGGTAAGGGAGGACCGTAATATCAGAGACCATTTCCTATGCCGCGGACCTCACCTCTTCTCGATATAATCGTGTCATTGTGCGCGCATGGGATAGAGTGAATCATTGATCATATCCCTTAAAAAAGGGGCACAATCTCCATATTGATGGGACATGCTAATGGAGAAACCGCCTCGAACCACTAATCGGGTTTTTATAACTGGTTGTTGGTTGTGGCGGGTCGTGACCCTTCAACAAAAGCGATTAGATGATGGTACTATTCACACTTTGAGTGACTGGCCTTTGGGGCTAAGTGGCATATGCACTTGGGAAACTCTAACGTAGCTGAGGGGACGTGTGTTCAGAAATTGTAAAGTGACCATAGACGGGAAGGAACTGGTCCACAAAGCCGATGATTCCCGCATATACCTCGGCTTCGAAGAGTAGTTCGGGGGATACGGAGGGTGTCCCAGGCTAAGGGGTCCCCGGGCTACTAGTCTATCTCTCCTGGGCCGGACGGGTGGGCCGTTCTTGATACATCATTGGAAGGCCGAGTTGTAGGCGACTCCGTGTTCTGGTAGGAAACCTCTGAAGCCTTGGTGTATCCTCCAAGTCAAGATAAAGGAGTCGGTGTGTTTATCCCCTGATGGTAATCGACCATGTGTAACCCTAGGTACCCCTGGTGTCTATATAAACCAGAGGGTTTAGTCTATAGAGGCTAGAACCATCCTCCTACTCATCTAGGGTTTAGTTCATCTGATCTCATGGTAGATCAACTCTATAAACATTATACAAACAGATCAATAAAATCAAGCAGGACGTAGGGTTTTACCTCTTTGAGAGGGACCGAACCTGGGTAAATACTGTCTCTGTGTTCCTTGTTCCCCATCGATCCTAAGTTCTATAGCTCGGAACCCCCTACCCGAGATTCGTTGGTTTTGACACCACTAGGTCCCACCAGTAAGTGTCAGATGGAGACAGGTGCAAAAATATCAAAGATACAACCACATAGCGTTCAAACGGCTTTGAATAAATGGGAACGACATAGAAGGGTATTTCTATAAGTGCCACTAATGGTAGAGGGGCCAATTTGAGCATGCTTTGAAATTAGGGACAAATCTGAGTAGTGGGTTCGAGTTAGGGACACAAATGTAAATGCCCCATTTAAAAAAAGTTCACATGGACTTTCTACATCCAACTGCTTTGGTGTAGCTAGAGTGGTCCTAGACCACTCTGCAATTTCTCCATAGCCGCATTATAGTGTGGAAAGTGATTTTTTTCAAAAAATAAATTTATGTGAATACTTCAGTATTGGACCACCCTGTCCCATTGGGCTACGCTACTATTGTTGGTTAGCTACCCGCCCTCAAAAAACACCTTGCCTTGCATGTTAGCCTTCCCTTGTTTGAACACCAAGACCTTTCCCTTGTTTAACCTGATATTCATGACCAGGAGATGAAACATATAGCTTTTGGCGCAGTAGAGGAGGGATTGCCAATTTAAGATCAGGCCTATTTTGGTAGAGAGATTTTGAGAAACATTTGCACCTATGCAAGCATGAATTACTCAAGAAGATTTATTAGAACTTTATATATATATTCCCCTACCTTCCAAACTCTTGTATGAAAAAGGCACATTTATTCGATTGTGAAAAGAGGTAAATAGTCCTCAAATTTCTTATTACACACAAAACCATAATCGCTAATGCTCTAGATCGATGGCTCATTTGGCCTTGGCGAAGGAGACAAGCTTGCGAATGGTGCTGAGCGGTTTGTCCTCCTCGAGAACTCCTGCTTTGTACATGGCATCCTTGTGATCCATCCGAGATACTTGGACATCAAGCCGGTAGTTCATGCCCTCGGTCATTCTCTGCACCTCACCGCTTACCACTTGTTTGAAATGGAGCCTGCTGTTGGACACCATACCATACTTCACCACCGCCCAGGTGCCGAGGTCCTGGACATGTGGGTTGGTGATGTTCTTGATCGGCTGCCATTTGCTTTTGAGCGCTACTGCCGGTGTGGTGATGACAGAGATAACACCAAGAGCAGCAAGGAGAAGAAGGCTAGTCCTCATGGTTTGATGGGTGTTGTGCTGGGGCTAATCCTACCTTGAGATGGAGCTTCTAGAGAATGAGATGGAGCTTGCACATAATGAGATAGAGCAAGGAGAGTATGATGAATTGTAGAGTATTTAAAGAGATTAGATTTGATGCATTAGTCAGAATTAATTGTAGCATATCTAGTATCAATTGGTACAAATTAATGTTGGGGCATAATATGCCAAATTTGTTGACTCTCGGGCTAGAATGAGATTGAGCGAGGAGAGGAGGAGAAATTCTAGAGCATCCATGGAGATTAGATTTGTTGCATTAGTCGAAATGAAGTGTGTGCATATCTAGAATTGATTGCTTCAGATCAATGTTGTGGGTATAATATGTCTGATATGTGACCTCTCAGGGGATAATGAGATTGGGCAAGGAGAGGATAAATTGTAGAGCATTAAAGAGATTAGATTTGATGCATTAGAGCATATACAATCACACCTAGTTTTTGGCTACCCAAACCAATTATGGGCCAAGGAGAGACTAACAGATAAGATTTGGTTAGCCATAAAAATTCTTCTTTTAAAGCATACCTAAAATTGGTACCCACATTTTGAACTTGCTACATCGATCTGCATTGTTTTTCCAATAGTGCACAAACCCCTTGATATTTTATAGATAATCCTCACATGCAAGAAAATGGAAGCATTAGGTGACAGAACCTAAATCGGCAGATATTGAGGTAGGGATCCTAAGCTAGGCATTTAGGAGTGATAGTAACAAGGACACATGATTTCCCCCAGGTTTGGGCTCTCCGAGGAGTTAAGACCCTATGTCCTCCTTATGGTTATTATGTTGGAGTGTAGTACAGAGTACATGTATCTACCAAGAGATTGTATGTGTCCTCTACGAGCCTGTCCCCTCGGTTTATATAGGTAGGGGGTCTTACGGTTACAGTATCCTATTCGGCTATGTACGGGGAGGCAGAGTCCACCACGGATCTAGTGTCTTGGAGTATATATGTCAACTCTTTTGTATCTTCTTTGTAATCATCATGGCCCGCCCGACATGGCCCAGGTTAGAATCTACAAGGGATGCTCAGCTCAACCCGCTAGGTAGGGAGTCGACATGGTGAGAGGCCCCTGACCTAGGACACTGTCATTTCCCAAAAAAAATATAATGCCAATCTGGAGCACAACAGCACCGACATGCAGCCGTTAGAGCCCACCATAGGTTGCGCTTTAGGTTGACTCTCTCGGGGTGATGACTCCCAAGGGGTAACGCGTGTCAACGACCTAGTCCAGTCATTGAGGAGGAGTGCCCGAGCTCCGCGAGGTCAATTCAACCTTTTGCACACAATGCTTGACCAATCGACCACAATAGGGTGTTGTGTGGAGGTGCATCACATCAAGCAACGACATGGCAGTGGGGTGAGGCTAACCCGCTAAAATCACGACATGGCGGCGGGGATCACAGAACAACGTCGGGCATTCAGAGGGAGGCACTGGTGGAGTCGGAGGCGTAGGAGATGTGGGAGGGTTGCATAAGGGTAGGCCGTCGGTTCCGGAGGCTGGAGCATGGCAGGGCCAACATCGGGTGGGCGAGGGCTCACGATGAAACTTTTCTTTGCATTGGTTTCTCTTACTACCACGTTTTTGGGTAGGATGGGTACTATGGAGGGAATATCCATGACGATACAGAAAAGCCGTTAGATCCCTCGGTAGGGTCTTGACATGACTGGAAGTCTCAGGGTGGAGGTCATACAAGGAATTGATCCAGGTTTGGGCCTCCGGAGAGTAAAACCTAGTGTTTGTTATCCATGGTGGAGGGGTACCTCGTCCGAGGGGTTTACAATGGTGTATGAGAGTGATCGCTCTATATTTTATGCATTTTTAGAGCTCATTTTTTGCATGTTCTCTTCATATACTATGTCCCATTGAACCAAATAGTTGTCCATTATGCATGATTATTGGTTTTTCCAAAGTGCTCCAAATCAAGATCTAAGACAAGAAAATGGGTCGGCGTAGTTCATACAAATCCAACGAGCTCAAGAATGTCAAATTATGATATCGTATGAAGAAATGGCAGCCATTTTACTGGAGGAGGACACAACAAAGGACGACCTTTCATGCGACCATGGTTGATCAGCTGGTCGTATGACCTATAGACAGCTCCAAAAGTTTCCCTTCCAGATGAGATTCTTCAATAATTTCATTCCTGTTCGATACCTCATGACCAACAAGTATAGGGGATCAAGCATAGTCCTTTCGATAAGTAAGAGTGTCAAACCCAACGAGGAGCAGAAGGAAATGACAAGTGGTTTTCAGTAACGTACTTTCTGCAGACACTAAAATTGTCGGTAACAAATAATTTTATAGGAAGATAATTTGTAACAAGAAAATAATAGTAACTGTAACAAAAGTGAAACAATGTAGCCCAATCCTTTTTGTAGCAAAGGACATGCCGGAACAGTCTCTTATAATATAAGTAAAGCGTTCTTGAGGACACACGGGAATTTCATCTAGTCACTTTCATCACGTTTGTTTGATTCATGTTCGTTACTTTGATATGTGGGTTGACCGGTGCTTGGGTGCTATTATTACTTGAACAAGCCTCCCACTTATGATTAACCCCTCTGCAAGCATCCGCAACTACGAAAGAAGTATTAAGATGAATCTAACCATAACATGAAACATATGGATCCAAATCAGCCCCTTACGGAATAGCGCATAACCTAGGTTTTAAGCTTCTGTCACTCTATAAATCCATCATCTAATTAATACTCCACATGCTTTCCCTTAGGCCCAAGGATGGTGAAGTGTCATGTAGTCAACATTCACATAACACCACTAAGGGAATCACAACATACACATCATCAAAATATCAAACAAATACCAAATTCACATGATTACTTATGACAAGACTTATCCCATGTCCTCAAGAACAAAAGCAACTACTCACAAATCATATTCATGTTCAAGATAAGAGGGGTATTGAATAGCATCATGGATCTAAACATATAATCTTCCACCAAATAAACCAACTAGCTAGCATCAACTACAAGATATAGTCAACACGACTAGCAACCCACAATTACCAATCTGAGGTTTTGATACAAAGATTGAATACAAGAGATGAACTAGGGTTTGAGATGAGATGGTTCTAGTGAATATTGGTCCTCCCACAATGAGAGGCTTGTTGGTGATGGCTTCAATTTCCCCCTCCCGGAGGGAAGTTTCCCGGTGGACTCGCTCTGCCGGAGAGCAAAAGTGCTCCTGCCTAGGTTCCACCTCGATACGGCGGAGTTCCATCCCGAAAGTCCTCTCCTTATTTTTTCTAGGGAAAATGGCTTATATACCGAAGATGGGCACCAGAGGCTGGCCAGGGGCCCCACATGATACCAGGGCACGCCCTGGTGCCTCGTAGGCACCTGGGTCGCCCCCTTTGCTATTTATTTCTTCCAGTATTTTTCATTTATTGCAAAACAATTCTCCATGAAATTTCACCTCATTTGGAGATGTGTAGAATAGGTATCTCTAACATAGCTTTGTCAGGCCTAGAATTCCAGCTGCCGACAATCTCCCTATTCATGTAATCTTGCAAATTACGAGAGAAAAGGCATTAGGATGACACTATAAAGTCTTATATTAGAGAAAAAATATAAATAATAGTAGGAAATCATGATGCAAAATGGATGTATCAACTCCCACAAGCTTACACCTCGCGTATCCTCAAGCGAAAGCCGAAATCGATAATCATGTCCACATGTTAAGAGAGAGAGGTGTCGACAAAAACAAAATACAGACATAGTAGCATCATAAATCATATCATAGAAGGAATATATTATCATCATAAAACTTCTCATGAACAAGTAACGATTCATCACAACAACGAAGTATAAAGCATAAACTTCCTTGAAAAATAACAAACTATGTTCTTAGTCAACAATGCAACTGCAATTCATCATCTTTTCAGGAAGGGTCTCATGTAGGAGCTTTTGTTTAGCAATTCCACATACTTAACTATCATTTAGTCTTCTATGATTACTCACACTCACGACATACATATGGAGCAAAAGTTTCAGCCAGACACATAGAAATATAGGGGCTTATAATTTTGCCTCCCAACTTATTTACCTCGAGGGTAATTGTCGGTGTCAAAACCGGCCGATCTCGGGTAGGGGGTCCCGAACTATGCGTCTAAGGATCGATGGTAATAGGAGACAAAGGGGACACGATGTTTACCCAGGTTCGGGCCCTCTTAACGAAGGTAAAACCCTACTTCCTGCTTGATTGACTTTGATGAGTATTGGGGTTACAAGAGTTGATCTACCTCGAGATCGTAATGGCTAAACCCTACAAGTCTAGCCTATATGAATTCTAATTGTCTCTACGGACTAAACCCTCTGGTTTATATAGACACAGAGGGGCCCAAGGTTGTACAGAGTCGGTTTACAGAAGAAGGAAACTATACATCCGGACGCCAATCTTGCTATCCACGCAAAGGAGAGTCCCATCCGGACACGGGGGAAGGCCTTTTGCTTTGTATCTTCATGGCCCATCAGTCCGCCCCACAACACACAGGCTGGACACCCGAGGACCCCTTAATCCAGGACTCCGTTAGTAGCTTCTGAACCAGTCTTCAACGACGATGTGTTCGGCGCGCAGATTGTCTTCGGCATTGCAAGGCGGGTTCCTCCTCCGAATACTTCAAAGCAATCTTCTGAATAAAAGACATGTATCCGACTTTGTATAACAGACACAACCCTCAACCAAGAAGGCAATATACTTAATCAAAACAAGGTTTGTCAACCGACAACTTTTCCTGGCGAAATGCCACGTCTGCCTATTTATCATTTCGAACTGTTTTTCAGCCTCCCGCTTCGCGTTTCGAGGCACAACCTCTATTGACACGTCTTGTCAAAGAAGAGATTGTGTCCCCTTATTGTGGGATTCTCATCAATATGGGGTTTGGGTAATCCAACCGTGCCATTCGCCCTTGGGAACAGGTGAATTTTAAGGCTGGAGGGGGG